AAAAACAACAGTGGTTTTCTCCTCAGTAGCTGGTTGCTGTCCTGTTTTTCCATAACATTTCATTTCAAGTGAGACTGTGCCTTCAAATATGATTTCCAACCCAGAAAATGTAGCTTAAGCACATGATAAACATGGGCCACAATCTTTGAAAAGGGCTCATATGAAGAGGCTTACATGCCCTTTAGGCAATGATGTTTTGGACATACCTTCAACCAATGCTATAGTCAGATCTGTGGTTAAATAATCCTTTGCTGGACACTGGCTGAGAATATATCCTCCTTGGCCAGAGTCCCTTGGCCAGTCCCTGGTATCTACTGGCTTTGCTGCTGATCCTCCTAGTTGGAGCTAGATCACCTGAACTCTACATGGGCTGAAGAAGAGAGAGGAACAAAAGAAGGCCAGGTTCTTCCAAGGAAAGTATTTCTTATTATCCTATCAGTAGGACGTGGTACCTACTTGCCTCTGACAGAAATAGAGAATGACTGTAGCATTAATACTACATTAGCATTATAGAGGGGGGAAAACACCAAGAACATCTTATCCAAGCTTCCTTGGGGTGCAATTCCAGCAAATAATGAAGAATGTGTATGTGCATCCTTGATTTTCAAACTGATTAAATCAGGAAGTCAATTAAAAGCAACAACGATGTCACGTCCAGCTTCTCAACACTGTCCCTTCATGCATACATCACTGGGACAAAATAACCCGAATACCTGACTAGCAGATTATTTGAACTCTACAACAATTCGAGAAGAGCAAATATTTACCTCCTTCAGCAGTGGCATCTACTTCTGCACATCATCTCCGTTTTGGAGCCTACGCTTCTTGTCCCACATGCTGTTCTGATCTGTTTCTTAAGATAGCTTCAAGTTTCAATTTCCAGTCCACATTGCAGTGGATTGGCAATAGGGCTTGGCTGGTGCTTTATCTGGATTACAGCCATTGTAAGACTTGTGTAGTTGTTCCCAGATTGTGCCCTTCTCATCCTCACTGGCTGGTTCTTGTGTGGACCAGCCTACTAGTGTATGCATTTTCCTTTTAGGGGATACGTCTCCTCATGTGCACCTTAGATGCCACACATATAAGTGGCTTCATCTCTCTTCCCACCATATCTGCCTTATCACTAATGTAGACCCTTCTTAGGTGGGTTTTTGTTTTTTTTGTCTTTTCCCTTTATGGCACCACCATAACTGTGATGCTAGAATAACCAAAGCAACGGGGAATAAGTTGTTCTTTCATCCCTGTGTTCCTCTCTAAGTCTATGAAAACTTTGTAGCAAAGAAGATGCAAGCCTTCAATTTCATGGAAACAAGATAGCAACTTTCTTAAGGGCAACTTAAAGATGTTATTTAAAAAAAAAAAAGGCAAGGGAAGCTTTGCAGGAGGTGAGAAAGCAAGGGAAACATCCTTCGCTCAATCTAGGCACAAAGTGAAAGTAGACAATATAAGTGTGAAAAGAGTATGAGCTTCTATGGTTGAGGATAGATCATTGACTTAGACAGACATCGTTGAAACAATCGCAAGATTCTTTGGAGGAAAAAAGCAACTGCCAGCCAGTACAGAATATACCAACTGGTAATCCAGGGCAATGACTAGTCAAAGGAGGGAAGAGGGGCTCTCAGCAGAGGTGGGTATTCAGCAGGTTCTGACCAGTTCTGGAGAATCGGTAGTGGAAATTTTGAGTAGTTCAAATACCCCCTTCTGACTAGAGATTTTACAGTATCCTTCCCCTGCCACCCCCACCAAGCCACCCCCCCACAGAACCGGTAGTAAAAAAAAAACCTGAATCTCACCACTGGCTCTCAGGCACTGCAGTGAATCAGAGCTTGAGCTCCTACCAGATCAGAAAGAATGAAGCCACTATCATGGCTTGGTCAACCGTTTTGAATAAAAACTGGCGGGGTGCCTTTGCGATGGGCTGGGAATGGGGGAAGATGCCATCCATCTCTGCACTTAGCAAGTGGCAAGCGGCCCATACCAGCCAGGGGTCAAGCAGAAGTTGCAGATCTGTTCTCATTTCTAGACAAGTAATTCTCCTTAACCAATTTCTCCAAGGGAACAACAGTAATTGTTTGCAAAAATTCCCCCAGGGACGCCTCAGCTGCTTTTGGGGCTGCCCCTTGATCCCTACACAGGTAGTATGTTGGGGGAAAGCTCTAGATGAAGGAGAAAGGATTAAACAACTCCTTTACCTAGATTCTTGCACAGGGGAATGTAGCTGAGATACATCATCAGACAGATATCCTCAAGACCCTGGAATCTTTGCTGGTTTATCCTACATCTAATCTGTCAGACCCCAATGTTGAATTCCTTTACATAAAAAGCAAACATCAGCCAAGAAAGCAATGCTCAGTTCTATGGGACTAAATCTGAAAGACTTCACTAAAATCAGGCATTGTCTGCATTAATAATAAATAAACAATATTTACTGATGCGTAATTGACTATTGGAACACATTAAAAGTGTTCCAAAGCCTATCAAGCATCCTATCGCAGGCTGTCTGACACAATCACACATCTACATAATACTGGTTAGACACTTTGAACTGGGCTATTACCAGCTCCTCCTGCTCCCTTCTAATAAAACCAATAAACACCAAACAAGCTTCATATCTGCCTCCTGTCGCCTCTTCCAATTCAGGAATTCTCTCCGGCCACAACTGAGGCCACACAGAATTTGCAGAAAGCCTTCACAGAGAGGAGCTATAGTGTTGTTGTTTCTTTTTGCAAACATCTGGACCATGCAATAGGTTGATTTGCACCCAGATTATTAAGTGGATGAAGTTTCAAAGTCAATGTTTTTTTAAAAAAATATTAAAAATCAGGCACAGTCAAATATTCTCAAATATTACCCACCTCTCTGTTTCCAGGCGCATTTCCTCCCGTTTTTGCCTCCTAAGTTCTCTGCGACGTTCAAAGTCGTCCATGATATATATTCAAGTTCAGATAAATCCCCCAAATCAGACTGAATTTGAGAAAGAGAGAGAAAGAAGGGGGGGGAGAGTCAGAACTGGACATGGAAATGAAGCCTCCCATTGACAGAATCATATCCAAGTATAGTCATGTTCGCATCCACAGTTTAAAAGATTCTTCAGAATCACCAAACATTTTATTAAACGTTTTAGCAACTTCCCCTTTGGGAGTCAGCTTCCTTGCTGGAAATTAAAACAAAGCTGTAGCATTTTACATTTGATGAAAGAAGCAGATGGGGTATGTCTTAAAAGAACTATTTATGCAGACTGGCATCTTCCTCCCAGTATACATGTTTAGCAAAAATAATAATGATAATTTTAAGCGAGATGTGCAAATTTGCCACGATGATAACTGGAAGCCACAAAGGAGGTTATTTCACTGTAGCCTCAGATTTTCACCATTGCAGATGTGAAGCAGTCAGAAAAGAATTCGTAACGGTCAAAAACAGTTTCCCAACAACACAATAGTACCTTGCACTTTAATGCTACTTTCTTTGCTAATCACAAAGCTACAAGCATGCATTTGGAAAAGGTTAAAAATGGAAATTCTGCCATCGGTAGGAACAAAAAGGAAGCAAATGGTTAAAATACCGCTCCCCCTCCCTTTAAAATATTGCTCTAAATCCTCCTTTAAAATATTAAAACCGAAAGTTGAGATGCAGAGACGGATGGAGGGGGAAAAAAAAAAGAACTGGACAAGATAGAAGCATCTGCGATTTAAATCAGCACCTACCTTCTTCTTGTTAGGTTTACTCCATAAAATATTTGCTCCCTTATAACTCCTTCATGCGCAAAACCCTTTCAGGCTTTGATTTATATCCTATCGAGACAAATATAGGAGAATTCTCCTGCAGGCCCACCAACTAAAAATGACTACCAGAAAAGGGAAAGCTGTTCTCTTTTTGTCCCAGCTTTGTTTACAGAGCTGTCAGTGGTTAGTTAAACTCTGCCTGGAATCTAGCGTTTAAGGCCTGCTCCAAGAGCGTTTCCTGTGTTGAGCCGGAGGCCCTCAACTTCCTTTGGAATTCTAGCGTAGACTCTGCGCTCAGGGTGCTTTTTCTTTCTCCCCCCCCCTTTTTTTTTTAAACTAACTTTCCCCTCCTCCTTTCAAAATTTCCAAGTTTTTATGGCAGTCCAAATGCAGACATTTTTACAGTGAATTTAAACTGGGCAAACAGGAGATGAATGCCTCATCAGCTATATCAATGATTAGATAATCAATTTCTATAAAATATTTCATTAATGGTTTCATTGATTTATTGTTTTAATTGATTAGTGTGATTAGAGTGTTTAGTGCAAATAGTGTGATTACCGATTAGTTTAAAAGATCAAGATTCATGTAATTTAATTGATTAGTAAAATCAGTGATTTAGTGAATTTAATTGAACAGTGTGATTAATGATTAGTGTAATTAATTGATTAGCGATTAGTGTAATTAATTGATTAGTCTGATTGTTGCTTAGGAAAATTATTTGACTAGAGAGATTACTGCAATTGATTGATTGGTGTGATATTGGCTATATTGATTACCCAAAATTGTTCCATTAATTAATTTAATCAACGTACCATCTTAACAAACCTACCATGCCAAGAAAAAAATCCAATGCCAAACCACAACCTAAAGAGAAAATAATCCCCACCAATGAACCATAAGACTCCTGCACATGCCTTAAATGCTACAAAACTCTAAAGGATAATGAAAACTCCATCAAATGTTCTCTATGTAACAAATACGCTCATCATGACTGCTTGGGATTACCCGAGCAAATGATTCAATACCTAGAATCATCCAATGAGTTTCCATATCTCTGCAAATCATGCAGACCCAAACTGGATCTGTTGGAAAGAGTTGATACCATTGAAACACGAATAACATCCCTTGACATCATAGTAGCATCCCTGGACACCTTAAAAGAAAGATTATCCAACCTTGAAAAAAAAGACACAACGCAAAAACCTGAACATCCAATAGCTACAAACCACATCTCTACCCAACAACCACAACCCAATCCACAACCCAATCCACAAAAAAACATAAACCAGACAAATAATGATATCCCAATCCTCATCAGAGAAGCTGTTGAGCGTGAACGGAAACGTCCAAATGCCACCTTATTTGGTCTAGGGAAATCAATGATAATGATGACATCACAACTGTCCAAAACATCATCAGTGATTATCAAGCATCAACCATCTCCCCTGATGAAATACTTGACATTTCCCGCATTGGCCGAGAGCTCAAAAAACAGAGACAGCTCTGTGCCCCACGCTTCTGCAGGGTTATTTGCAAAAATGAATCAAGCAAACGTAAATTCATTTACACTATAAATTCACTCGCCAAAACCAACACCAACCATAAGAACCTCCGTTGTCGCCCTGACCTAAACATACAGCAACATGCCCGCTCCCGTGTACTCCGCACTGAACTCAAAAAATGTCTAGACAATGGAGAGAAGGACCTGTACATTGACTACCATGCTGACTGTATCAAAAGTAAGTCACACAACCCGCAACTCAGCTTTAACCTTCAACCACAACCCTACCTCAACCAATCCACCATCACCCAAGACTAGGCACGCACGCCCCTAACTACCTCAAATCCAACTGCTGCTGGCCTTAAATGCAAGCTACTCAATGCAAGAAGCCTTGCGAATAAAATACCTGAATTTCTCCTCTTACTAAATATGGCTAAATTCGACATCATATTTGTCTGTGAAACATGGCTCAACGCATCTCTCCCTGACTCCATTACCACAGTAAGAGACTATCATGTTTACCGATCAGATCATGAAATTCGTAGAGGAGGTGGTGTTGCTATCTTCTATAAAAAGTCCTTACATCTAAAAAACATCCAAGTTACTCAGGAGCTTGCTCTTCCTGAGACCATCATCTGTGAACTATCCTTAAATATCACATTTCGATTCTTACTATGTTACAGAGCACCTGATTATGACATCGAACATGTAAACAAGCTAAATACACTACTAACATGGGCAGCATCCTGCCCACATGCTTTTATCTTTCTTGGTGACTTCAATCTATCTCATATTGACTGGTCCCTAAACGAATGTACAACTGAACCCATACACGCAACCTTCTACAATGCTGTTACAAATCTGGGACTGGAACAACTAGTAACCAACAACACTAGACTAAACAACTGCCTCGATCTCATCTTCTGCAATAGTTTGAATTTAATTTACGGAATACAAACTAAAGAACCCGTTTCCAGCAGTGACCACAATATGATTGACTTTTGTCTCAACATACGCCCACACAAAAATCATCACAATGATGTAATCCCCAATTATAACTTCAAAAAAGGCAACTATGATCTTATAGACAAAGATCTCTCATCCCTTGATTGGCAATCTCTATTCACTGGATGCAATACTGTTGAAGACCATTACAACATATTTTTACTTGAAGTCAAAAGAGTCATCAAACTATATGTACCAACAACAACTCCCAAAACAAAAAAAAACAAATTACCCATAACAATAAGGAAACTTCAATCCAAAAAGAGATCACTCTGGCGGAAAAACAAATCTGGTCACATTGCCAATTTCAAAAGCCGATACAAAAATTTATGCCACCAGATAAAGACTGAATGCACCAATTATCACATTAAACAAGAGGAAAACCTTCTATGCACCAATTCCACCCGCGCTTTTTACAATTTTGTAAACAACAACTAAAAGACTCAAGGTCCATCTCACCCCTGATAGGACCTAATGGTAAAGACTGCAATGACGACACCATTAAAGCCAACATCTTTAACACATTCTTTGGCTCAGTATTTGTAAACAGCAATGGATCATGCCCAGTATTTCCTAGCCGAACCACAGACAACTACAATGATCTAATACATATTGATTTTACAGAAGACAATGTTGAAAAAGCACTACACAATCTAAAACCATCTCTATCTATTGGACCGGATGGAATATGTGCCTACTTCTTAAAAAAGCTATTCACTGCCATAGCCAAACCTCTAAGCATAATCTTTGAAAAATCTTTCAGGACCAGCTCCTTGCCTAACCTATGGTCACAAGCCACGGTAATCCCCATCTTCAAAAAGGGAGACCCCAGCCTAGTTCAAAATTACAGACCAATCTCCTTATGCTGCGTCACCTGTAAAGTCATGGAATCAATTATTAACCAATCCATTATCCTCTACGTAGAGACAAACAACCTACTCTCCAATAAACAATTTGGTTTCAGGAAAAAACTATCCTGTAATCTGCAACTCTTACACTGCAAAAACATATGGACTATACAACTCGATCAGGGCAAAGCAATAGACGGAATCTACATAGACTTCTGTAAAATCTTATGGTATCTCTGGACAACTGCATAACTGGATAGAAGCATGCCTGTCAAACAGACAACAAATGGTCAAAATTGGGAGTATCCTATCAAATTCTGTACCTGTCAATAGTGGTGTCCCCCAAGGCAGTGTTCTAGGACCAACTCTGTTCATACTCTACATAAATGACCTCTGTGTTCATATTAAGAGCAACTGCGTTCTTTTCGCTGATGATGTAAAGCTGTTCAATACCACAGACAATACTGCTACCCTTCAAAAAGATCTTGACTATGTATCAGAATGGTCAAACAAATGGCAACTTCAAATCTCAACAAATAAATGCTCTGTGTTACATATTGGCAAAAAAAAAAATCAGAAAATAAAATACAAGCTGAATAGCCAAGATCTTGTTGATGATCCAAGCTCTGTAAAGGACCTTGGAATACTCATCTCTAATGATCTAAGTGCTAGAGCCCACTGTAACTACATAGCCAAAAAGGCATTAAGAGTTGTTAACCTAATCCTACGTAGCTTTTTCTATGGTAATATCACACTACTAACTAGAACATTTGCTAGACCAATACTCGAATACAGCTCATCAGTCTGGAACCCACACTACGTATCTGATATTAGCACAGTTGAGAAAGTCCAGAAATATTTCACAAGAAGAGTTCTCCACTCCTCTACTCGTTGTAGAATACCTTATGCCACCAGACTTGAAATTCTAGACCTAGAAAACCTTGAATTACGCCATCTTCGGTCTGATCTAAGTATGGTATATAAAATCATACATTGCAATGTCCTACCTTTCAATGAATACTTCAGCTTCAACCATAACAACACAAGAGCACACAATAGATACAAACTGAAGGTAAACCGCACCAAACTTGATTGCAGGAAATACGATTTCAGCAACAGAGTGGTCAATGTCTGGAACACTCTACCTGACTCTGTAGTTTCTTCCCTAAACCCCAAAAACTTTAACCTTAGACTGTCTACTATTGACCTCACCCCTTTCCTAAGAGGTCTGTAGGGGTCGTGCATAAGCGCACCAACGTGCCTACCGTCCCTGTCCTATTGTTTCTTTTATTTTTCTTATATGTACCCATTTCATGTATTCATAACTATGTATATACTTATAACTATTGACAAATCAAATAAATAAAATAAATGCACGCTGCTAGTCTAAAGAAGCAAAAAGGATCAATCCTGTGTTAGTGAATGCTTGTTTGCTGATTATTAAGAGGTCTAAGTGTCGGTGTGTCGGTGTGTGTGTCGGTGTGTATCTGTCTGTCTCTGTGTGTTGTCTGTGGTACAGGTAGTCCTCGACTTACAACTATTCATTTAGTGAGCGAAGTTACAATGGCACTGAAAAAAGGGACTTCATGAGTGTTTTTCACATGATCATTGTAGCATCCCCATGGTTGTGTTCAGACACTTGGCAATTGGCGTGTATTTATGATGGTTGCAGTGTCCCAGGGTCTCGTGATCGCCTTTTGTGAGCTTCTGACAAGTAAAGTCAATGGGGGAGTTGGATTCCCTTAACAACCGTGTTACTAACTTAACAACTGCAGTGATTTAGTTAAACAGCTATGGCAAGAAAGGTCATAAAATTGGCAAAACTCATTAAACAACAATCTTGGACTCCATTGTGGTTGTAAGTTGAGGATTACGTGCATAAGCTCACCAACGTG